TTGTGTGAGAGTGAGCTGGAAGCAGCATGGAAGCTGGAGACACAGATACATGTTTGCTCTGTGCTGGACTTCAGGGCTCCCCCTGGAAACCTGAGGAGAAGCAAGATCTATAGGCATGCTAATATTGTGAGCCCCGCCATCCTATGCTCAAGTTGTATGTATGTGCAGATAAAACCAAAAATCCTAAAGACACCACCGTCTCCGCTGACCTTCCTTTCAACATAACTGAGCCCTGACTAAGTGCAGTCCCCCCCTAGAGACTGGGGTGTTGCATAACAATACATTGAATGAACATTTATTTAATGGAGAGATAGATAAATGGGTATAATTTATATATTTTATGTATAAAATCCATATATTTTATGGATATATATAGGAATATTAACTAGAAATATATACTCCTAGTAGCAGTAATTTACGCCTCCTGGAGCTATAATTCCCAGCACCCTTAGCAAACTATAGTTCCCAGAATCCTGGGGAGGATGCTTTCAATGTAGGTTGTGTACAGCTCTCACACCTGGTGGTTCTTTTCACAGCACTGGCCTAAGGGAGTCATGGACAGCTGGAGCTGTGCAGCTTTCAGTGCCAACACCCACCCCCACTGCTACCTTCCTCCAGGATCCATCCTCTCTATGATAAGCATTGTGTGAAGTGTGAGGATGCACCTAGCAAGGGTCCCTTCAGGCCCTGTACCAGCCCTGCAATAGCGATAAGTCCTTTGCACTGCAGGATAGTAATTAGCCTCCATTCCACATGCAGGTATTAAAAAAATTCTAAGTGGTCTATTGTTCATATTCTTGTGAGTCACGCTGTGCCATTATCCAAGGTGTCCTTTGATCACTAGCAAATGGATGCTAATTCGTGTGCAACCCATGTAGCACAGCACATTGTCTGCTCACCCCATCTCTCCAGGGTGAAAGGAGGCTGTAAAACTCCTTTGTCCAGACTCAGTGACACTAAGGACAAGGTGAGTGAGAGCAAAAGCTGACAATATGTAAAGGAAGTGAATACATTTAAGGTAGCTAGTAATTTAACGGGGGGGGGAGTGTGTATTTAAAGAGCAGTGCAAGGGGAGTCAGTCAGGATCAGAACAAGTGCAAAGGTGGATTTCATCCTCAGAAGCTGCCATTCACTTTGGCTAGGGAAGTGGCATTAGTGCCTTTAAAAAGCAACTATTTGGCTCCATATACTTTGTGTTTGTAGGGATCAGACATATTAGTGTGATTTTACTCAGGGTATTGGCACTACACTTCAGCTAGCCAAGAACAGATGTGGCGAAGCTGCTGCCAGTGAAATAATTTGCCCTGATCTAATGCCCACTGCACAGATGGCACTTCTGCAAACATGGGCTGACTTATTTGTTTCAATGGAGGGGAACAGATCAACATATAGAAAGCAAAACTGGGTAGAATTCTGTTGGAAGGTGTGGAAGGTCATATAACCAACATGCGCAGGTCTAATTAATGCATGAAGGGGTTAAGATCATAGAGTAAGCTGTCCAGCCAGGCTTAGCTAACTCTTTGTTCTTCCATCCCACCATGTGAAAACTACAAGTAAGGAGATCTGAGCTGGTTGCTCCAAGCTCAGACTGCATGGCTTAAGCAAGCCATCCTTTATGTTTCTATACAAATAATTTAGAAACCTACACCACTTTGGAACCTAAGTTTCCCTGCTGTGTTTTCTGACTCTTGTATGGAAAAGCACAGGAATCTGACATTTGTAAGTAAACCACTTTCAACTTACCTAATGTGTGGTCTCTATGCATGAAGAGGGGAACTTTGAAAGCAGCTGAAAATGGGATGTTTTAAAGGTCTAACAGAATATTTTTCAACACTTCACTGCGTCTTTTGTGATCTCTGATTTAAAACACCAGCAGAGGAAGCCCAACCGAGATCAATGAAGAGGCTTTTCAAGGTGAGGCTGTGCACCAGACTGCTAGATCAATTGGTATGTTTGTGCACAGGCTAAGCAAATCAGAATTGCACTTGTAGAAAAGTAACTTTGACATTTATTTCACCCAGTTCTAAAGCTTTCAGAAAACTATTAAAGAGAATGCATGAAAAACCGCAAACAAAATGATGCTACTGTCTCCTAATCTCCTATAAGGCCTATGCAGCTCAGGACCAGATTAATTGAGAGATTGCCTTATCCCTTATATACCCAGTAGATGGCTGAAACCCATGGGTGAGTTTCTCCTGCTAGTTCCAAAGATCTCAGTAACCCAGAGCGGGGCTTTCAGTGTGGCTGTCCCTCTTCTGTGGAACAGTGTTCCTGTCTAGGCTCCTACTTGATAACACCAAGGTTGCAGGTTCAATTTCCCATATGGGACTCCTCAGGGTCTCTTCCAACACTACAATTCTGTGATTCTATCTGTCCTTTCCAGAAACAGCTGAAGAATTCTTGTTCAAACAAGCTTTCTCAACTGGAAAATGAGTTTTTGCCCTCAGTGTCTATTTTGTTTTACAAAATGTTTTAAATATATTGAAAAGGTTCTGGTGTTTTTCTGTCTTCATGCTGGTGGTTTTTGGGTTTGGGTTTTTTTTGGGGGGGGTACATCCCTATGAAATGATTGCATAGAAGGTGATTAATAAATTTGAGCATTTCTGTAGAGTCAAAGTCCCGTTCCCCCACAAAGAAAAACAATATGCTTGCAACACAAATGGAAACGAGTGGAAGTTATCAGTTAATAATGTGCAGTGGATTTAAGCAGCTTAATCGGAAACAACATCCACCATGATTAATAGCTAGGGAAGCACTCATTGAATTGAAGGCTTCAAGGAATTACAATCTGATTAAAATTCCATTTTAGAAATGAAGGGAAGTAGGATGCTAATCAGTCTAAACCACTGATTATTAGGGATAGCTGTTTGCAACAGCTGGAGCTGCTCTGGCCGGAAAATAAAAAAAGAAATCCAAGAACAACCCAACAACCTTGACTCATAGAAAAGACTGAAAAATATAGAACATGTCACACTGAATTTGCCCCACATCCACGTTTGGAACATGTCTACACATCCAGGACAGTTTTAAGCAGAAGTCTTGCCAGTAGTGATTTTATATTTTTTGGGTTGGTTTTAGATGTTAGAATTGTTTTATCATCAGCTGAACATGGGATAGATAAAGTAAGGATATGTACAATGTTACAACATGCAGAAAACAATATATGTAAAGAAATCAGGGAGGGGAGCCGAGGGAAATCCTGGGGGGGGGGGAGAGGGAGGGTTGGGGGGGAAATGGGGGGAAATGTAACTGATTAAGAGGACTGATAAATTGTTATGTGAAAATTGGTTAATAATTTTATTTTAAAATAATAATAATTGTTTTATCATCTGTGTTTCCTGCCCTGGGCTCCTTTTGGAGGCAGGGTAGGATATAAACCTAATAAATATTAGTGTAGTAAATAATAATTTTTAAGTGGGACAGCCTTATTTGCAGTTCCCCAATTAATACACAGATCAGAACACAGATATCCTTCAGAGCGTGCCCTTCTTTGAATTTAACAGTGCAGTTCTTGGCTCAAAAAAAGGCCACCGTGGTGTAACGGTTTAACTGTTGGACTGTGACCTGCGAGACCAGGGTTTGAATCCCCCCAGGGTGACCTTGGGCCAGTACTGTCTTTCAGCTTAACCTACCTGACAGAGTTGTTCCGAGGCTAAAATGGATGAGGGAGAACCATGTACTCCACCTTGAGCTGCTTGGTGAAAAGCTGAGAAATACATGTGATACAAAAATGTGCATAATAGAGAGAAATACACACACACCAAGAGGATTCTAGGGGAAATGTTTGCAATGTACATGCAAAATTTTCTGCATTTTTTTAAATTGCAGAAGTTAGGACAGAATGGACTTATGATGCAACACATGTGAAGCCGGTATGGATCAGGCATACATTTAACACCCTGTTCTACATCAACTGTGCAGATCCAGAGTTGTGTAAACTGTTTTATATGCTCCCCTCACAACCCTTTTTTAAACTGCTGCTTCTTTGCTGTCTTTTTCTGTACTAAGCTCTGCCATTTGCTTGGTCCCTAAGAGCATGTTCCACTGAATTATCTTGAAACAGTTCTTGTTCCCTGTGAATGATTTGTAAAGCTGGGGCACATATGCTGTTGCTTGGGATGTGTTGAATTCTTTCTCCTTAGCCTCCATGTGAACCTGACATCACTTTTCTCAAAGCACTTGCTCTGCTCTTCCTAGAAATGTTTTACGTTCTTTGTGTTTTCTTGACTTTGTTATTGGCAAGACCAGTTTGTCCGGCCAAAGGCTTTGTGATTACTAGATACAAGAACAAAGATTCCTGACATTTTGAAGGCGAGCTGAGCAATGCAGCCTCTACGACTGAAATCCTTTAATTGGAGTCAACATCTGCTACCAATCGAAAGGAGCAAGCAGTAACCCAAATATGTAACTATCCAGCAAATTGAAATATTTTCTAAACATTTCTCATCATAATCACAAACTCGACTTTGTTTTTGGAGACAGATGGATGAGGTCTCTGTTTGCCTCTCTCATCTAATCTGTACTGTAAACACACCATTGTGGCTTCTTAAAAGGCACAGTGCTTAGCATAAAATCTAGATCTTCAGGAAGGATTTAAAAGCACACACAACTGAACTGAAAATTTGTATAGATAATTTATGCAGGACTGAATTATAGTCATTTGTATTGATCCAAGATTAAGGGTGTTAAATGCTAGTGCTAAGAATAGCAATGGATATTGGTATAGTTAATGTGATCATCTAAAAGGTATGGGAGAATGTGATGCTAATGTCCAATACCAAGATGAAGGTCTACCAAGCTTGGGTGTTGAGCATGCTGTTTTATGGTAGTGAGTCATGGGCAACTTACAACCGCCAGGAGGGACGGATGCCTCAATGCCTTCCACATGCACTGTGTAATGAAGATTTGGGGCATCACATGACAAAATCATAGAACTGTAGTGTTGGAAGGGACCCTAAGGATAATGTAGTCCAACCCCCTGCAATGCAGGAATGTGCAGCTGTCTCATACGGGGATTGAACCTGCAACCTTGGCATTATCAGCACCATGCTCTAACCAGCTGAGCTCTCCCTAGCCTACATTCCCAGCATGTTTGCACTCCTGTCCCAGCAATGACTACATTGGCTTGGTTATGGCCACAGAAGGGAAGACAGCAGGAACCCCAAAGGATGTGCTCAATGGGGAGCTGGCTTCAGGCACCAGGCCCATTGACAGACCAACTCTGTGTTACAAAGCTGTCTGCAAACATGACATGAGGGCTGGCAACATCCACTCCACTGTGGGAGAATCCCAGACTTCAGTGCCTAGAGACAGACAGACAGGTCATGCATCCACAGCAGTGACCAGACGAGGGAGGACCTCTGGGAGGAGCACAGAGAGAAGAAATGTCATGGTGCATCTGCAGCAGCACAACCAGGCGTCTTCATCTGCCCCAGCTGCAACAAAACATGTCTCTACAACCACAGCAGATGCTGTGACCTTCCAACAGTTTGACCCCACCCCCAAAGGTGCATTCCTCCATTATCTTCTGAGACAGACGAATGCCAACTCTAACAGTTTTACTACAAACTGATAGCAGTTTTATACAATGGTATGTTCCCCACCCAAGAATCTTGGGATTTGAAGAGTTGCAGGATGAGGATGCTAAGCATTTTATAGAGCAAGGGTACCCAATATGTGAGGTCCTTCAGGTGCTGTTGGATTCCAACTCCTATCAACCCCAGCCAGCATGGCCAATAGGCAGGGGTGATAGGACTCAAAGACCAAAAAATATGGAGGAACAAGGTTAGTAACTCCTCGTCTAGAAAGCCCTCTTCTCCCACTTTAGAACCTTCATTGCCAAGGTTCCTTCTTAGAGATCTGTTAAACCAGTAGGTATTTGAGCAGTCACCAAGGAACAAAATGCTGAGGGAGTCTGTTGCTGGGCTAAACCTTACAAACCATACAGATATTGGGCCAAACAAGTGTGCATCCCATTTATAATCCAGTCCTATGTCAACCTTGTTAGAGTTGTTGTAAACAGAGTCCCTGATCTGGACCTTGTGAAGAGTCAAAATGGTTTCAAAGCTTTTCTGGAAACAGTCTTAGAATAATTGCTTTGTATTTTGTGAGTTTTATTTGTAAGACATTGCTATTGACAAGCCAGCAATGTGCTCCAGTCTTCTTTAAGTCCTTAATTCAATCCAAAAACTTTCCTCTCTGTTCCTAGAGAAAGATTCTAAGCAACTTGCTTGTTCAACAAGGCTGAGCTGAGTTCTTGCTGCTGCTGCTGCTGCTGCTGCTGCTGCTTCCATCTCCTACTGTGATGCTGACTTCTCAGGTTTCCTCAGGGATGAGTCATCACTTAGCATACTCATCAAAACAGAAAATCTCCAGCCTCTCCTTGCTGTATTTACCTAGAGTTTAAGCTCCTGCCTAATGCAAACTTCTCTTTATAAAATATTTTCAAACACAATGCATACAAACAGCACACTGAATGCATATTAAATTTGTACCTTTAACAACCCACCCCCTGCTTTGGTATCCAAAAGGCTGCTGGAGACGCTATTGACTCATACCCATCCCACACTTCATTCGTGTAAGCAAATCTACCGGTAAGTACTGTAGGTTTCTTAACAGAGTCAGCCCTACCACTAGGCAGAGGGAGGAGGTCACTGCTGATATTGTAGATCAGGGTGGGAAACCTCCAACCCAAGGTGAATATCATATGTGATGTCTGATATTCACCTTGCTCTGGAATCACAAAGAGGTTTAGCATTGAAACCCCCTGCTAAAACCAAGGCAGAAACTCTGTTTTAACAAGGGGTTCCATGCAAAGACTTCATGATCTTGGAGTACACCTTTACAGAAGCTCAGCACCTAATGTAATCGTGACATCAGGTGATTGGCAGCTGTGCGGCCCTGCCAGCTGTCAAATTTAGCCTATGAGGAGTAGGGTAGATATAGCTGTGGCCTGCTGGGGGAGAAAGTTCTTCTACCCCTGTAGAAGTGAGTCAGAACCTTGCAGAATGAGTCAGGCTGCTGATGTTGTAGATGTCACGGAAGGGCAGCTAAGTGTTTGTTATGTAATATGTCATTAGCATTGTACTTTTACTGCCAAGGAGGGAGGGAGAAGTTCTCATGGGACATCCTGCTTCAGGTGCCAAAATAACTTGGCCAACTTTGGGTGCCATACACTTTGACCTGCTGTTCTGTGTCAGGTAGCAAAACACCTTGCACCAGCTTTGAGTAAGTGGAGCAGACCTAGAGGTTCAGCTATAGCTACACAGAGAATCAAGCAGAGGTAAAAGAAGAGGAATAAAATGAAGTTTTTAAAAATCCTGAAGTACTCCCCCACCCACTCCCCTTTCCATTTGTCTCTCAGTGTCGAGGACAATAAAATTTAAGGGGCCATCATTTCTGCGGGCAATACACAGACCTTTTGCTACAAGTAAAAGACAATATCGACACCCAGTTTCTCTGGGATGCAGCAATTCCATTTTAAAGACATTATTGAGATCATAACTAGCTATACATAGCTTGCAGATATTCATGGCGCACTGTTTGAGAATGACTAATTCCTTACATAACATCATTTAATGTGCCTGTTCCTGTAACCATTAATCCAGTCACCATTGCCAAAGGCACAGACATATCAAAGGAAGTCCCCACACATTCCCTGGGTCAGACACTGTTTAGAGAGGGCTATTTTGAACAGATGTTTTGTTTTCTGGGATCATCCTACCTGCCCACCCCCCTGCCCCCGTCATTTTGAAAGCATCTTCTCGCCTTTGCATGGAAATATTTTCCAACTAGTTGAGGAAAACTTTTAAAAAATAATTAAGAGATACATGCTCTGTCACAAAACACTATTCAAACAGCGAGAAGTTCCTGAGGTGCTGTGCTTATGCACCTTTATTTTCCTTTGCAAGTTTTGCAATGGAGGCATCATTGTGTTTTGCAACATTTGGGTGTATTGACTGTTGGAAGTTAAGGTGCAACTCACCTTAGAAAAGAGGAGTTTGCATGGGCTTAAGACAGAGTGGTTGGGACGTGGGTGGCACTATGGGTTAAACCACAGAGCCTAGGACTTGTTGATCAGAAGGTCAGCAGTTCGAATCCCTGCGACAGGGTGAGCTCCTGTTGCTCGGTCCCTGCTCCTGCCAACCTAGCAGTTCGAAAGCACGTCAAAGTGCAAGTAGATAAATAGGTACCGCTCTGGCAGGAAGGTAAACGGCATTTCCGTGTGCTTCTCTGGTTCGCCAGAAGCGGCTTAGTCATGCTGGGCACATGACCCGGAAGCTGTATGCCGGCTCCCTCGGCCAATAAAGCGAGATGAGCGCCGCAACCCCAGAGTCGGCCACGACTGGACCTAACAGTCAGGGGTCCCTTTACCTTTAAGACAGAGTGAAGGATATCCACATTCCCAGACTATCCCTGTACCTTTAACCTATCAGCTCACTTCTCTATCTCCTTGTTGTTCAGGCAGATACTATATGTCTTTGCTTGCATCCTGTTTACAACTTTCTCCTCTCCCCACTTTTCTCTTGGAGCTAAAGATGAGAGGCCATCTTTAATTGTCACCTGAGAGGACACAGGTATATGCATGGCTGCTTTGTTCTTCTCTAGACTAGTTAGTTATAACTAGAATTTTTTCTATCCATGTCATACATTTCCTACACAATAAACAACTTTATTTTCTTACCTGCAAGCATCTCTGTATGTCTGATTGCAACAGGCAAGGTCTACTCTCTAGCTAAATGCTGCTCACTCTGCACGCTAAAGGGCTTCAATAGGTGATGGACGCTGTTATCCCAGTATTTGCAAATATACAGGTTGAGCACAGGTAGAGGCACACTGCTTAAACAATCATATAGACAGCTAAAGCTCATTGTTCCCATCTCAGATTTCCAGCGAGAGGCATTTTCCACTTTTTAAGTCTCTTTAGGCAGTCAGCCTGACCACACAAGAGTGAACTCCTGAAGAGAGCTTCCTCCTCACTCAAAAACTGCAGTACCCCCTTTGTTCCCTTTTGCAGAACGAGAGCTCGATTGCATCATTCTTTGCTGCAGGGGATGTACATCTGTTTGGGTTTTTTTCCTGTCCAGAACATTGCAGAACAGTCTTGCCCAAGAAGCATTCTGAATATTCTCTTGATGGTAATTAGTGGTAACTCATTTATTTTTTAATTGTTGTTGCCTGCCTTGGGACTTCTTGACAAAAGGTGAGTAAAAGATCACCACCACCACCATCATCATCGCTGGTATTCAACTATGTTTTACTCAGAGTAGGCCCATTGAAATTAATGAACATGACTAAGTTAGGTCCATTAATTTCAGCAGGTCTGCTCTGAGTGAAATACCACTCAATAAGAACAATAATAGCTACAATCTGAACTACCATGATATTTCAGTTTGCTTTGCCTCTTATATTATGCTTGCCTTTTTTAAAAAAGAAAGAAGGTAAAACTAGAGTCAATATTGTTGCACACACACCCAATCTCCAAACGGTGCAAGACTCCAGGGGTTCTAGGTGTTTACCCAGGGTTTGGTTTCCTTTGAATATGGGACAGCGTGTGTGTTTACAATATATGGTTAATTTATATACAACCTGATCCTACAATGGAGGGGCTCACAGCATTAACACTCCAGGAGGTCTTGCTTCTCCCATAGCCACAGCCTTGGATTCCAGCAGAAACCAAACATGTACAGTGGTACCTCGGGTTAAGACCTTAATTCGTTCTGGAGGTCCGTTCTTAACCTGAAACTGTTCTTAACCTGAGGTACCACTTTAGCTAATGGGGCCTCCCACTGCCACCACGCCGCCGCCGCCATGCAATTTATCTTCTCATCCTGAAGCAAAGTTCTTAACCCAAGGTACTATTTCTGGGTTAGCGGAGTCTGTAACTTGAAGCGTCTGTAACCTGAAGCGCCTGTAACCCGAGGTACCACTGTATCTTCCTCTTAGGCTTTTGCCTGCTTCTAGCCCAGCTCTCTCCTTCTAACTTCCAGCCAGTTCAGGGAGGGGCTCACCCATTTGCCCTCTTACAGAAAGCCACTTCCTTGGTCCCCCTAATGTCTGATACTAAG